TATTTAAATTTGTCCGTGTGGTGACGGATTAAGAATACGGAATGTCACCACCCCCTATTCATCCCGTGGGTGTCGTAAGAGGCGACTAAGGGAGCAAACTATGCAGGACAACAGCACTGCAGAGAGAAGGAAAACTTGAAACAAACCCTATACCAACCCGTCTGGCCAGCTTGGTATAGTAGGCCAAAACCTCCTTTCTAAGGAGAGGCCTATGTCCAGCAGTGGACTGTTATAGGCTGTTGATGATGATGATTGATGATATTTAAGTTTCTCGTTTGAAGCACTTATACAAATAAATATATAAGCATACTGTATAATACTAACTTATTTCTGGATTCTAACAATGCCCACCTACAGGTTAGGGCTTAAATGGGTGAGAGCGCCATTTTTGAATGGACTGTCCGTAATGTGTTTATCTGTAATTCAAAAAGTAAGTAACAAATTGCAAAACCGATTTGGTTTCAAGCGGCAGTGGTTCTATTAACATAGTAGTTTAAGTGACATAACTAAATTGGTGGACCTAGGTAGGGTACCCAGATACGTTTTTCATGATAGTTTTGCCGCATGCGATGTTAGGAATTTTATTGGTTTCCGTCAAATAACTAATATGATTGACCAAAATGAACTTATGTTACTTTATGATTTTATGTAATAACATTGATATGATCAGTTGTAAAACAGAAAGAGTAAATCATGAGGGATCGCCAGACATTTTAGAGTGACTGCTCTGACTGATTGATCTCCACGTAATTTGCAAGCAATTGAAAGTTTCTGGTTACGTGCGGTTTGCTCAATTACTGGTTATAACTTTGGCATAATTTGGCCAAAGTCAAAGGTGTTTTTGACTGATGGTGGCCGAATACAAAGGTCCGGACTGACACTACTTAAAAGGTCAAAATATGTCGATAGTCAGGCTACCTGGTATCCGCTCCGGCCGAAGTCTTTTCGGGTGTTGGGACCGGATACCAACTATTATATAATAATTATTATTATTTCACATATCTCACACACGGCCGTCTGATCCCAAACTAGGCAGAGTCTGTGCTATGGTAACCAGACTGCTTATAAACATACTTATATATTTCTAAATACATACATAATATAGATAAATTACACCCAGATACAGAACAAATGATCCTGCTTATCACACAATTACTTATTCTGGGTGAGAATCGAACCCACGACCTCCGGCTTAGCTGTCAGGGTCACTAATCACTAGCCCAACAGGCCTGTCAACATTAGGTTATTTTCATTTCATTTTTAAAACTGTCTTTCTAATTCAGGTTCCGACGAGGTTCTCTTGTGTTGTAAATAAAGAGTATTTTGCTCAGGTTATAACCGGCGGATACAGCTATTCGATTCATTTCTAATGTTATCATGTCAAGTTGTGAGTGTCTTATTTACGTGTGTCAAATATTGTATCTAAACCTTTTCACCTTCAAAATTCAAAATATTAATTTTAAGGATTAAACTAGACTTGCAACGAATATTCGGTTACTATTCGGTATTCGGCCTATTCGGCTGCTTTTATTATATTCGGCCGAATACCGAATATCTACATATTATTCGGCCGAATACCGAATACTTAAATAATATATTTTGTCATTGAGAAATAACTGGTAAAATGAAAAATTAAAATCGATTGATTACGTATATATTCATATTTTCATTTCTGTGATAATCATTTAAGTAGTCCTTGGTGCATAACACAGGTACATAATCATCTTCTGAATTGGAAAAATGGAGGATTTTATGTATTTGAATTATTGTGGTAATCAAAATTTAGAAGGGTAAGGTTCTTATTTCTTTTATAATCATTTATTAATTAGTCATTGGTACATAAAACAGGTACATAATTTAATTCACGTCTGTACAAGTTTTTGGCGCTAAAATCCAGCCGAATACTTTTGCCTAATATTCGGCTATTCGGTCAGGGGCCTCGCCGAATATTCGGTATTCGGTATACTGCCGAATATACTATTCGTTGCAAGTCTAGATTAAACAGATGTATGTACAAAATAATATGTTATTTTGTACACACATCTGTTTAAACCTTGTTTAAACTGTTTCTGCTTAAACATGATAACAGGATTATTTAATGTTAACAAAATATACTTTGTTAAAAATAAAAAGGTCACCCCTAATTAACAGAATATGATTATAGGATTAACAATAATATTATACCGTTTAAATTGTACTAAACAAGTACCGAGTGGGCAATGTGACGCTTGTTAGTTATTACACATGGACGCCTTCAGTTTTATCTTGTTTCAAAATACAATGTTAATGTCAATGACACTGTATGTAGATATAATATTTTCACACTAATAAAAAAAAAGTGACCATGAATTGTTTATATCAGCTAACCTTTGTGATCAGGAATACAACACATTTTATAAAATCTTATAATGTTTTATTTGGGTTCCCTCTATCTGGCAGAATCTTGTTGCTACGAAATTTATTTCGCAAAACTTGGCAGAATCTTCTTTAAACGAATATTTTTTAGAAGATATATATATATATTGGAACAATTATTGTTTGGACGAATGTTTATATGTCCGAATTTACAATGACATACTTTAAAAATGGAATGATTTTATTTAGCATAATTACCTTTGGCAGAGTTAGAATTTCGTATAATATAGGCTATTTTTCCTCTCAGAAAGGGTAGGGCAGACAAGACTACGGTTTTGCAGCAATTCGTTTTAGAGAGTAATTTAGACGTATACGCGGAGGGGCGGGGCGTCTCTAGAGCTGAAGAGGAGGTAGTATCAGAGCTCGCCGCCGCGGCTGAAGCCGCAAGCAAGCCGCAGCTGCGGTGGTGAGCGTCGAATTCATCTGCGACGAAAAGCTCGCGTGGGACTTATTAAAAGAGTATATTGATTTTCTTTTTACACAGTTAATACTGTCGCCGGAATCAGGGAATGCCATACCTGTTGAACTGTAAGATAAAATAAATGAACTAATATTTTTTTAAAGATTAAAAATGCTCCTCAATCCCTCTTAAGCTTCGAGTCTGATGCTATCATTGGCTTGCTATATAAAATATTGCCACCAGAGGATTACCCAAAGTCTCAAATTACAATTTAGAGATCAATTGCTCAGAGTAATATTTTTAAAGTAGCTAATTAATTAATTAAGATTTTTTTTTTAGACACTTGCGTTAATCAAACCGCAATAGTTGCACTGACATAAGTCAAATTTGGCATTTAATTACATCTACTTCTATGAATAAATCCTAACTACCTAATATTTTGAATGCCTGAACACAGACACACAGACACAAGGACATAGGGTCGTTTTCATCCAGTTTTCAAGAATATTTGAATCGTTTAAAAAATCTAGAATAAAGAAACAAAACCGATTACAAAATATATTTAAACAATAAATACATACAATGACTTTCACAGCATTGTTAGTGCTAGATCCAAAAAGTAATTGTGGTTCCAAAACCATAATTACTTTTTACATTGTAAAAGCCAGCTTCTAAGCAGGCTTTTGTGACAAATTACGTTAGAAATTTTTACAAAAAAAATTGTTATTGGTAAAAGATATCCGTATAATAATATCCGAGTATAAGACTCTTATCTTACTTAGATTGAAGTCGATTGACCATAATCAAAATAAAAATAAGTAGTTGCATGCTGCATCTACCTAAACCTTATCTACGTACGAGTAGTACCAACATGCATTAATAAATAGAAACAAGTAAATAAGTGAAAACGAGATTATGTTTAATTACAGTTTATACGTACTTTTAAAGTTTATAAAAATTAACGATTTACGTGTATCTAAAGTAATAAACAGAAGCACAGAAACATTCTTAAATAGATTTCTTACAACCCTTTTTCATTATTACAAGGCTGGCTGCCTATCTATATCTAGTTGTTTACTCTATTAGTTGTGATGTTCAAGGGGCCGTACGATAATCGCCTCATTATGTACTGAAGAATATCATTAGGAAATAATAATAAACTAATAAATAGTAATAATAACCTTACACAACTCACACACGGCCGTCTGATCACAAATTAGGCAGCGCTAGTACTAGGGTACCAGACTGCTGATAAATATACTTTTTTGTATGTTTATAAATAAATACAGATAAATTATACTAACAAATAATCGTGCTTATCACACAATTATTTGTTCTGAATGGGAATCCAACCCACGACCTCTGACTTTGCAGTCAGGATCACTTACCACTAGACCGACAGAATAAGTATTGTTCCAAAACATGAGATTTAAGGTTCACTTTATAATACATCGTATGGTACCAACATCGTTGCCATGCATTATCACACCGAAGTTCTAATTTAATTAATAGTAGCTCGTAGCTCTAATTTAATTTAAAATAGTGGTTTTAATATTACAACGAAGTTAATATTTTAACGTTCATGTTAGTCTGTGTTGTGTGTTTAAATTCCAGAAGACATAACAAAAATACTCAGTTTTTTTCTTTGTTAACATATATATTTGCCAATCTTGGAAACCTTACATTTCAAAGAGAAAAATCATTTTTATCGGTATTATGAATTAAGTGGATTTCCTGTTTGATAATTTTGTAACAAATCTTGTTCAAAACAAGAATATTATTCATTGTTAAAATGTTGTAAAATATAGGACAAATTTAAACGGGTAATAGCCATTGTACTTGTGTTTATTTAAAGATAAATATTGGATTTGTACATTTTAGTAATACTACTTACTACACTTTTTACACTTTACTGGTAGTTTTTTTAATAAGTATTGTTTTTAAAATTTCGCTCTACACTAATACAATAAATCGGAAATTGCGATAGTCTCAAAAACTCCTAATGTAAATTATATATTTTTTTTACTATCACGCAGGCTCTAGAGCATTAGCAATACAACAATGACGCTTAAGATGGTATATTGTATTTATTTATAATTATTGTATTTTAGTTATTTTATGGACTTATATTATGTATAAACCTGTCGCCTAACTTTTGTGGTATAACAGGTAGAAGTAGATAATATTAGAAGTTATTGCTTACCTCCACTCGTTCTTCTTTCAGGTCAACTCGCAACGCGAGCTGCTCCCTTAACACGACATCGGGGTAGTGAGTTTTGTCGAAGGTGCTCTCGAGCTGTTCGAGTTGCTCCTCAGTGAAGATGGTGCGATGGCGGCGCTTGCGCTTTGGCGGTGGACCGGCTAGCCCGGCTAGCGCAGCTGCCGCGTAGCCGCCATACAGGCCCGCGTAGCCGCCCGCTCCCGACACCGCACTGCCAACACTGCTAACCCCTGATGTAATTACAAACATTTTTGTAAGAAATAAAATAACAAAATGTTCGGCCACATTACCATACAGTATTAAGACTCATAGTATGTGTTCTAGAAAAATTAGTTTATATAACTGGTAATTGTATTCTGAGATCTAGATTGTAGATAATAAACAATTTAAGACGATCGCTGTCTCAGTGCAATCTATGGTAATCTGTATTAGCATGCAGTATTCAGTATACATTTTATCACATAGTGAATATTACATTTTAAAATTTACTACAATAATATAGAAATCATTTAGTATACCGTGTCATTTATAAGTTTCAGTTGAGAAGAAATCATAATGATTATGTTTCTTAACAAATTCGAGTTTTTTATTTATTATGTTTTATTGTGTCAGATTATCAACATATAGAAAAATACGAAAGGTTGTATAATGGCTTACTGTGTAGAACTAGACTACAAATAGTAGTAGTCCAGTTTAGTCAGCCCAGTTAGTAATAGTCCAGTAGTAGTGTACAAATAGTACAAATGTTGCCAAGTCCATTAAAGGCAACGGGTGGTCCATGCAATGCAACGGCGAAAGAAACCAATCTAAAAACAGTTTTATTACTATAGGTATTGCTAAAACTGATCAATTGCCATCTAAAGGTTGCCTGTTAGAGATTGCTTTTAGCGATAAGGCCGCCCATTGTAGGTACATATCCATTGGTGTACTCGTACAATAAAGAATATTCTATTCTATTCTAATATTGTTTGTGTATTCTAATTTGTCCGTGTGGTGACGGATTAAGAATACAAATTGTCACCACCCCAATTCATCCCGTGGGTGTCGTAAGAGCCGACTAAGGGAGCAAACTAAGCAGGACAACAGCACTGCAAAGAGAAGGAAAACTTGAAACAAACCCTATACCAACCCGTCTGGCCAGCGTGGTATAGTAGGCCAAAACCTCCTTTCTAAGGAGAGGCCTATGTATAGCAGTGGACTAGTATAGGCTAGTATGTAGTAGACTAGTATGTTGATGATGATGATTCTAATGTTGACCTAAAATAAATAAAGCATCGTATTACATGAAGAAAGGATTAAATATTAATCACAAATTTTATTCTATCACTTTTAATGAATATGAAAATTTATTGCTATCAAATTGAATATCATTCCATTTGACAGTGATAATGAAAATTTAAAGGACGTATTAGAGTATGATGGGTATGATTAATTATATGACATCTTAAAGTTTTCTGGTTCAATCGCAACCTTCCCCTAACAATGTATTCATTATACAAGAGTTATGGATTAAAAGTAACCCTAAGTCTGATCAAGTTCACCTAATGGATATGAGATTGGTCTGTATTATTTATTATTATACACCTATTCTTTTCAACTGTAGAAGTAGAAAAGAATTGGTGTTTTTTTTCAGTTAAATGTAAATAGGTACATGTTTAGCACTTAGATATATTTGAATTTAATTTATTGAACGTAGGTACGCAACCACCCTCGTCCGAAGTCAACCATGTTCTAGGACAATGGCGTATTTACTGAAGCGCACGTTCCTAGAGACGATTTCGACTAAGCAAAAACTATTAAACAATTCACCAATCCGTAACAGAGAGGCAGCATAACCAAAAAAAATTGATTGGCCTTTTTTAAGCGTTTTTATGAATAGAATTTTAAATGTGCTGATTTTATTAAAAAATCGCAATTTACGGGACCATAATTTTCTTATGCCCGAGGCACCAAAGTAAAAATACGCTACTGTTTAAAGGGAGCCGAACGACAACGACGCGACGGTCCTCTACACTAACCATTCACCATTAGCAGGACTTTAGGCGAACGTGACATATTTCGAAGCAAAAATAAAAAATAAATAACACAGTTCTCAAAATCAATACAGTAGGTATATAATCTCAATAGTGTGTAAAAGTTAACCCTGTTAACAATAACAAAAAGGAAAACCTTAATTAATACGAGTAGAAGCACGTCAAATAAAAATTAAAACTTAGATGGTTTGCACAAATGAAAATTAACATAATAGATTTCTACGAACTGACTGGCTATGAAGCAACAGCAGTACTTTGTCAAACATTTTTATCAACTATTTTCATCAACTAAGTCATAAATAACTCGTTTACCGATTGGGTATTTTATAAAAAATTGTAATTACTAAAATTGAACACTATTTAATACAAGATTTTAGCACTTTTGTGCCATTAAGAAATATTGTAAAATATCATTTGAATTATTAACTACTACTAACCTAGTGATGCTAGGCCTAGGAACTTATCTAAAAGATTTACTTCGGTGTTACGTTTGATTTTGTATCACGCGCATCGGCGCGAAAACTTACCAAGTATTACAAAATGCATTTTTTTTAGTTTACCAAAAAATTCAGTCGAAACTGTGATGTTGTGAAGTTTTTTGCTGTAAACTATTTTTGGTCATATCATTAAACACACAGGTACTTAAAAATAAATAAAAGAACCAATTAAACGTAATTATTACAAATAAAAATAGCGATGAGTGATAGATGATAAAGGGGAAATTAATAAAGATAAAAGCGTGAATAATCAATATCAGATTCAAATTATGGCCCTAATTGTTATAAACATATTGTTTCACAAAACTCTCTCGCTCACAAAACTTTTACGTGCTATATCGAGTTTCAGTTTTATTGTTAAGTTTATAAAAAGAATTGTTATATTCAATACTTAACATAGTATTGCTTTCTCAAACAGACAGTTATCAATTAGTACTATCTTAGCGAGTAAATGGTTGCTGGTTGGTTGGTTAAATAAATAATTTACTTTGGATAATAAATATAAATTAATAAAATATTATAATAAATTAAATAATTAATAATAATATAAATTAATTTAGTTGTGTTTTATCAGGTATTTATTTTATTATTATTATTTTATAAATTTTCACTGACCAGTAGTGGTAAGTTTTTAGGGAATATTATCAGAAAATCAAGTTTGTAAAAAACACACTTGCATTGAATGAATTTAAAAATGGAACAAGTCGCTATTGATCACGGTTAATACTTGTTAGAATAGGCGAAGCGTAAAGATCGCAGCTTAGAACCCCATGAGCTCTCCGCACGCACTCTATAAGTGAACCGTTCAAAATATTAACGCTGCGAATAAAAATTGAATATTTTTGTATACTGTTAGAAATTCGAGAGGCATTACACTGTATTATTTCTTAAAGAAATATAAAAGCTTTTAAGGCCGGCGGCACATTGCTAAGGCGCTATCGGCGGCTTTCCACACGCGCCAGCTCTGCAACTCCGAGCGCCCGCCTAAGCTCTATCGATTTTGAATACAATAACAGCACACGCTACGGGAAAAATATTTGTATATGCATACGTAGCGGATAGAGATATTGATAAGTATTTACGATTAATAACACTTTACATTTTATTGTGGGTAATCCCCACTACTCCCTACTGTAATAATGTTACGACTGACCTATTGGGTCGATTTCAGGGTATTCTGTAAACATTATATAAACAAGTTACTGTAATCTAAAGTAAGAAAAATTGGCAAACCTCATTTATGTACTGTATACCTATGCACTAGCGAATAAGTACAGGTTAGTCTCTAATTACTACTAGTAGATTAAACCGCTGGTATGTATGTAAAAGGTGCGAATGTATGCAAACGTAGATTTACTTAAGCAATATTGGTAGGCCAGCATTTCAGGTAAGGTACTGCTCCGTCTTATAAACACTAGATACAATAAAGCTTTAACAACGCAAGGTTACCTTACTTATCAAAAACATAGAACCAAGAAAATTGAGTTGGTTAAGCCCAATTCCGTGGAATAGAGCTTAACCCTAGTCGGTCGACTCGTGTCCCACCAGAAATCTGATCTGGTTACTAAATAACTTCTAGTTAAAGAGACTAAAATATAAAATTTGCATTGAGAAGATTAAGTAGGGTCATGTCGGTAGTGTACGGGAAAGGGTTCCCAATGTTCCCATTCGCACACATGTGTTTAATTTAATTGGTGAACGTTGTGAGCACAGAACAATTACTTTTCTGCGGTTGTGAGGGTTATGGAACTTACGGATTTATTGCAAGTTAAACTTAAACAGGCTAACAATTAGATCAATATCAATAGAGGCACATAAGGCTCATTAATTTCATATTTAGTATAGTTTATAGTTAAAATCTTGGTTAAAATTATTATAATATATCTCATCATGCGTGATTTATTAAGTGTTTGTCACTGGCAGAGTAATATTTTTATATATAGAGGGCTAACGAAATAAATGATAACTAATTTCTGTATAAATGTATTATTTTTTACTTTCCTCACTCTTTCTGAACATTTTTTTCACATAATAATTTTCATTTCACGTAGCTTCTGATGTATAAATAAGTATGAAGCAGATTAAATGATATTCTTTGTTTCTTATAATATTAAGTATGTATTACTGATACCATTTAAATTCAAATTCAGAGAAGGGCAGGCTAAACTATTAAATGACGTTCTCTTTTTTTTTCCTTCAATGACGGTTCCTCTCACTACTACTAAGAAGAGTACTAGTCTAGCGGCTGACCGAGTTTGCATAGCCACTGCGATGTTTATGCATCAATATGTTTAATTAGAGATCAGGTAATAAAATTTATAGAGGTTAAACGTTTTCTTAAATATTTATAGCACTTTGAAAATATGTTTGTGATTAAACTACAAATATTTAATAAAAGTTTGACAATGCTGGTGGGTGGGCAAGAAACTCATTTAGGTGTCAAAGCGAGAAGGATTAAGGCCAATGCTAATAGATAGCAATGCACTTCGCTCGTTTAGAAAATAGAAAATATGTGCAAGAGTACGCACTCGAGGATGTTGCAAGAGTACGCGCGAACTCTTGCATACAATGTTTTTTATAATAAGTAGTTTTACATGCACCTTGATCTTTATTTTTCTATTTGAAAGGTGCCTAGGCGAAAAGGAAGAACTGAAAGAAGTCTTTGTACACCAGAACAGTCAAAGTCAAACATTTTGAGTGGGTCTCCGTGTAAATTGAA